GCCATCCATACCTGCTGGTACATTGTTACCTAATGATTATATAAATGTTCAAGGCTTCTTTGCATTTGCCACCTCTCCTGCCGGCTCCTGTGGTCATTCTACCATGTCCTGAAACAACTACACACATGCCCACACACTGAACAACTAAAGGCTGCTCTGGCAGAGGAAGTGATTTGTTGTCTGCTAAATTCTGCTTAACTGCACGCAAAGGAGTTACTCCTGAAAGAGAAAAGTGTTGGTTTGTGGCCGGCCCTGAAAGAGAACCATTTGTGATATTCTCTGGGTTAATAACTAGCAAAACAGAGCTGTGCCACATGGGATCTCAAGGAACTGGTGTTACAAGCAGGTAGTGACCAAAGCCTCCTTACCTGCCATTTATATTCTTCACAATTTATCCTCAAAGGAAAGCTTGGCGGTATAAGTGACTACAAGAAGCTTTGGATCTTTCAATTGCTGTCTTTCTGTCCTGTTATTTTTAAATTGAGGATGTGTCTTGTTGGATCTTCTGTACAGCTTGTCTGCCTAATTAAGACAGTGCATGGCTCAAACCAAATGCCAAGCATTTAGCTCTCCCTCTCAAAAGAAAAAAGAGAAAAGGTTTCAAATTGCCAGCCATTCTTCCATGCTGGCTCTTTCCTTGGGAAATTCTAGGTGGCCGGTGAGAGAGGGGTAGGGCTGCCTGGCTTGATCAGCCAAAGATTGCGTACCCTGGATTCAAATTATAAGGCCACACTTGCAGTTTACCACAGTGTAGTCCAAGATTCTCTAAAGCCGTAGTTTATCCAGAGATTGAGAACATTGTACTAGGACTTGGGAGCTCAGGGATCCAGGCCTGACTCAGCCATGAAGTTCACTAGATGACTTTGATCCAGTCACTGTCTTTCAGCCTAGCCTACCTGATAAGGTTGTTGTGAAGATTTTATGGGAGGAGAATTATGTAAGCCACCTGAAGTTCCTTGTAAGAAAAGGTGGTGTATATGTATAATAACCATCATACATATTTTGGTTCCTGGCCATGTGTGGGGAGCTGCTGAAGGAGACACTTGTGTGTTCAAGCAAGCTCGTGAATTGCTTCGGTGAACTGAGCCATATTCCCAGTCTTTTCTAGCCTGCAATTGCTTTTATATCCCAGATGGCATTGCTGCATATTAACCACCCCTTCCTCACAGCTTGGACTTGTCTCACAGGCATTTGGGTTGGGGTTCCCAGGGATCAAATGCAACACTCTGGTTCCATTTTCCCCCAACCTCCAATCATTTGGTGGTTTCTCTGTTTTTGTGCATTTTTCTCTCAGTTCTAAAAAGTTGACATGCCTTTCCTAGGGCTTAGCTATTGGCAGTAAGAGCTCTGAGCTAAAATCATGGTGGTATTTCTTTGTCCACTGTTTGGAATGCTGCCACCAAGGCCTTCTCCAAAATGGAACTGAGCCCTCCAACGAAAAGCAACAATGTCTGCACCCCTGCTTTAGGTAATTATCTGGCATAAGGAGCCATCCAGTGAGTCGGGGATCAGGATGGTCAGGATTACAAACCAACAGGATCAGGTGCTGCTCCAGCACAGATTAGAACCCAGTGGATCGGAGTCATGGCAGACTCTGGTGCATCCCCCTTCCCTTCCCTTTCCTGAACTGTCAGCCTGGCCTCTGTCTGGAGCACAACAAGAGTTAAGTCACTTCCTCATGCACAGGGCCCTGGAATGATTTGCCTTGTGCTCACGCAGGCACAGAACCACTGCTTCTGGGCTTCTGCTCGGAGGCACGGTGATCCTTGCTCCTAGGGGATGATATTGGTTGGGGAAGGGCGTGATGAGAGACCATTGAGAGTCTCTTGGGCCTTCTTCAAGTGGCCTGAGGTCTTGAGAACGTTATTGGTACGCAACAACTTTCCTTAAAACCTTTAAATACTAGGGAAAGACATAGAGTCTTCCTCTGAGGACTTGTTTAGTTCTGGACTGGTCCTTCAAGGAACATAACACAGGACACTTCCCTCAGAAGCTTTGCCTTCATGTATATTGTTCCCCTGCTCTGGAGTAGGAGAACAAATCAAAGATAGAGAGAGAAAATGATGATGTGGGAAGTTAAAAAATGGCCATGCATTAGATAAGGAGGGGGACCAAGCAAGAGTTCACTGACTTTGCACCCAGGCACAGAACTTAAGGAAAGGAGCAATGATGATGAGAAAGCAGACCAGAGACCTGGAGAGCCAGCAGGGGATACTCCCGATACGAAATAATAAACAATTATGAGGTGACATCTACCCATTACCTTATGTCAGGAGCCCCCAACCTCTCTGGATGCATCACTGCATGAATGTGAGAAACCACAGTAAGCACCACCACAAAATCAAAAAGCAATCAGTGGGTCACTGATTTGAGATCTTCCCGTCATGTCTATGGCTCTCTAGCTGCATCTTACTCAACAATATTTGTTTCATGCCATAGCTCTTTAATAAGGGCCTTGTTGGCAGTGCCATACAGCCAATAATTCTTTAAACATGCATTTTAGCACTGTCCAGGAGTTCCGTCTTTTTGCAAGAAGATTCTTACACATAGGAGTTTTGTACTGGAACAGCCTTTGACACTGACTGTTTAAAATTATTTACTTGCTTCATGGAAATTAACAAATGGAAGGGAAAATAGCCTTTTGACAGATAAAAGGCTCAGATTATGAAACTGGGAGCATAAGCACTCATCCCCTGTAATACAATGAATTGTAATATAATGCTTTCGATACATGAAGCTTCAAATGGACACTTAGTTGAATATTGGTCTGCTTTTATTGCTGCCTATGTACAATTGCTAGAAAGCTGTATGCATTTCATACAAATAGGTAAAGATTTCCCCTTAACATTACGTCCAGTCATGCCTGACTCTAGGGGCGGTGCTCATCTCCATTTCCTAGCCGAGGGAGCCAGCGTTTGTCTGCAGACAGTCTCCGTGGTCATGTGGCCGGCATGACTAAACACCGAAGTGCACGGAACGCTGTTACCTGCCCACTGGTACCTTTTTATCTACTCGCATTTGCATGCTTTCGAACTGCAAGGTTGGCAGGAGCTGGGACGGAGCAACGGGAACTCACCCCATTGTGCAGATTCGAACCAGCGACCTTTCAATCAACCAGCCCAGCAGCACAGCGGTTTAAACCACTGCGCCACCTGCAGTCCCTTCATACAAATACATGCATGTATATTTAAACAAAAACTTTTTAATGGATGCCCACAGGTACTGTTGCAGGTAAGGATGGTTGGCTTGGCTCCTCCAGGCACTATGTTGAGGATCATGCTCTATGTAGATAAATAGGTGTGGGGCAGAGCTTTCTTAATGCGAAAGAGAAAATGCATCTTCAAAATAGCTATTCATACCTGACAAAATCACAGAAATGCTGCACCTGTCTCCCAGTGGGAGCCAGTACCTTGTTGCTAAAGTCAGCAAGCATGACATCCTGAGAAGCCCTCTTGACACCGCATATGCAATTATCTGTTGCAGTGAACAGGAAATAAAAGATTTGCGATGTTCCTGAAAGGTCACCTGTACAGAAATAAATAATTCCTTGATGGGAACTGACACCACTAAAGTAAGTCAGGCAGACTCTTGACATGTAGTACAATCACAACTGGATCAAGGCCTAATTGTGCATTTAGGACCATTTGGGAACAGTCCACAATATTGTAAAACTAAGAATTGAAATGTAAATTTCAGTTCTAGCACATTCAAGTGTCACAGGACCCTTGTAAAGGAGAGAAGGGCACACACATGCATGCGCACAGTAAACAAAGACTGGATTCACAACACCACAGTTAGCAATGGTGGTTTATTAGCCAGATGAACTGTTGTGTTGTCTGAATCCAGCAGCATGGTTTGTTAACTACTTGTACTGGATTCAGGCAACACGACATGATACCCTGGCTTATGAGCTGCCATGGCTTATCGTGTTGTGTAATCAACACAACATGTAAATTCAATCAACATGTAAATGAAGTGATCCTGGCTGCTGGGTTTTTTGTTTTTGTTTTTTGCTTTCTTATTTCAAGCTATCTGGGTCATTGACCATCATCAAATCTCCTGGCAGTAAATTCTATAAGTTGATTGTGCATGGTATGAAAATGGGTTCTTTACTTTGCTTTTGTCTGGCCTCAGTCAAGTTCTGCTCAATTCCAGATAAAAGCTTGTCTTTCTATATTTCGGGGGAGTGGTTTTCTGCCTATAAATGAGGCTGTTCCAAGTGATTATTAACATTTTAGTCAATGGACATAGATTCAGCGAACTTGCGCAGAGTTGTGCTGCTAGTTCATCAAGTTTCATTTTAACTTTTAAAATTTTTGTTTAAACTACACATTTACAAATAAATGGAAGAACAAACTTTGGACCCATTGGGATTTTCCACTATTTGTATTAGGACATGATGTATAAGTATGTTAGGAAGAAGGAATAATTACAGAAGCAAGGATTTAAATTATTATTGGTTACATTTCCTGCTTTTTTCAATGATCTTGTTACTGGGACTTCAATAATTGATGGAATGACCCTCTGAACTGCAGTCTACCTGAATCCTATGTCCAACATCCAAGGTCTTCCTCCAGGTGCCATCTCTGAGAGAAACAGCAACAAAAGGGAGCAGGGCCTTCTCAGTGGCAGCCCCCAATTATGGAATGATCACTCCACTGAGGCCTGCCTGGAACCAACCTTGTCATCTTTCTGGCAGCTGGTTAAGACAGCCCTCTATGCTGTACATGCATACATTTGAGGGAAGTATCCATCGCAAGTGTTCTACAGGCCTCCTGTATCATAAAACTATACATGATACATATAACTCTTTTAACTGTTTTTAAATTGTTTTAAAATGTTTGTATTTTGGAAAACATTCACAGCATTCTACTGTATCATCTGTTCTATAAAGTGTTGTAAACCAATCAGAGAGCTGCAACTCCTGAGAAGTAAGAGGTAAAGAAATGAACTTTATCTTATAATATTTCAACTAAAGTTTTGTTTCCTCTTTCTGGTAGCACTTGAAAGAAAAATATCAATGAGGCAAAGCAGAGAAGAGCTTATCAAGAGAGGAGTGTTGAAGGAAATTTTTGATAAAGGTAAGAAACATTATCAGTTCACAGAACTGTGATGTGCGCAGTGGATAATACAACTTGGTATTACCAGAGAATTTATTATAGCAGACATCACAAGACTCTTTGATGTGGATTTTTGTTATGTTTTTTGTTATGTTATGTACAAAGGATGGACCACAAACTTGAAAACAGCAATTCCAACATCATTAAACAGCATCATTTTTAGTAATGTCAGAATGTTGGGTGGGTGGCATCACGACCTTTTGTATGGAAAATAATCATTGTCCAGTTCAGTGATGCATGTTAAAAATGGCCTTGTAATGGAAATGGTATCGATTAACACTGCACAGTACAAGAGATCAGAGAAACAAAAATTCCAAACTTCTTACCAGAATCCAAAAAAGAAGGGCCAAAAGAACACTGTTGTGAAACCTGAAGCGATTTCACTGAATTTAATTCAGTGAGAATCTGTACAGCTTCCAAAGCCTACTAAATTCACTTGGTTTATTTGAGCTACCTTACAAAACACAGTTTAGCCAAAATTAAGCAGGGTTGAATACTGATAAATATGGGTTGTCATCAAACCCTACGCATTGCAGTTTTGGCACCTCTCCAGTGGGAGTTCTTATCACCCGATCACCCACAAAACTTTTTTCATGTGTTTGAATGGCCAAGAAAGCGCTGCAGATTGGGGCAGCTACAGGAGGAGCTGGACATGCTCTGCATATGGAAGATCCCAGTTCCAAGCCCTGCATCTCTAGGTAGGGTTGAAAACTTGGAGCACTGAAGGCTGTTACTTGTTGGGAATGCTGACCTAAATGGATCAGTTCAAGGCAATTCCTTTGTTCCTACGACCCACTAATATAAGCTTGTTCAATAAAGGGGTTGGGCACCTTGTGTTCCTCCACTTATTTTGGTCTGCCGCTCCCATTAACCTGTATTGCTGATAGTGAGGGATAATGGAAGATGAAAGCCAAAACACTGCCCACTCCAGCCTTAATGAAAGAGAGCAAGAGAGAGTCCTACAACAAAACATTGTGCCGCAAAGTGCTTCCACTCAGAGTTTCAGCCACTCTGTATCCCCTTTCATTTGCTTTAGCTTGAATTCATTCTTTCTCGGCGCTTTCTTATTTTTCTTTTCCATTATATTACTATTGTAGAACATTTCTATTCCACTATCATTAATTTATGTGTGTGTGTGTTATTGTCACTAATGTTTAATTTGCTTTTGTCAATTAAAATGAATAGATCCATCTATTTCCAGTCATGTCATTTTTGTTGGTGTGTGTTCATAAATTTCATTCTTTCCTATTTCCACATTAAGTTTCCATATTTAAAAAGTCTGCATGAAAATCTAGTCACTAGGTTGTTTCTACTGCTTGCTGTCTTTAAAAAAAATCCTATATATTAAATTCTACTCTGCGAAAAAAGAAGAAAATGTGCATTTAAGTTCTAAAGACGTATTTTCTCAAAAAACACACATCTGGGAGCAATAGTCTATCTCAGGGTGCGATCTTACAGGCTCCAGACATTCTTTGGCAGGGGCACTGAATTATTCAGAGCTTGGGCTCTAAGGTCCTGGGCCCTCAGAGCGAGGATCCCAGATGCTCCATCCCCCTCACAGCCAGTGTGCAAAATAGCTGCCTCTCCAAGGCTGGAAAGCAACCACAAAGAGGAGGAAGGCAGCCATCTAGAGGAAATGCAGGATGCGAGTCATGGTAGCCGCCACAGTGGCAGCCACGCATGGAGTGGAGGGCACTGCATTGCTCCCAAAATGTTTCCCTTTCTCCATGTACTTTATCCTAAAATATGCATTTTAATTTTGAGCTGTGAGAAGTGCATCACAAAATTTGAAGCAGTGCAAGAGGATAATTACATAGGATAATTGGAAGGGTAATTACATTCAGATCTGCACATGGGTCTGGGAGGGTGGAGGTCATGCCGGTTCACAGTGGAATTGGCTGAGTTGGGACTCCCCAAGCATCTGTAAAAGCTGTCATGTTAGGGGACGGCCTGCGAAGACATTTCACAAGCAGGACACAAGGCCGCTCTGCTCCACTGTGGTCTGTCCCCAGCCCCCGGTTTTCAATTATAGTCAGCAACTGAATATCAGGTTCTATTTAGCTGGAATGGCTGGTTTCCTTGATGGCAGATTGCCTTAACTCTCACAATGAAGGTTACAGAACAGTAATAACATGTCACCTGTGCATTAAACAGAAGAGGATCCAAAGGCTTATTGCACAGAATAACATAAAAACTTAAACATGAGCTATATAATTCAAATGCTAATAAAACATCAGTTAAATGTAAATAAGCTGTAGCACCAAGCCATTTTAAGACATCTTAATTATTTCAACTGGTAGTTTTAGGAGAAAGTGGTCTGCAACAAATAACTTTCCAAAGCTTGGTTGAAAGCTTGCATTCTTTACAGGTGAGGAGTTCAGCAACAAGGCAGGGCCCACAGAAGAACTCCTCTTTCTTATGCCCCATAGGTCTTCAAACCTGGCCTCCAGCTCCAGACTGAATGCAATGTTGGTGGTTCTTCAAATAGGCTGATTCTAAACTTGTTAGGTCTTTCAAGGTCAAAACCAAGAACTTCAAAATGGGCATGGTTTTAAGGTTCTCTAACCTAAGATTCTGTGAGGTTCTCTAACCCCTTTTTAAAAGCCATCTAAACCACATGTTCTAATGTTACTACATACATTGAACAAGAATACTTACATCCCTGTGTTGTTGATCACATTTTGCAGAGTTTCTAGATTGCATAACTCAGGAGCTCAACAGAGATAGCTAACAGCCTCTTTCAGTATGCCTACCCAGTGCTATGACATGTATCAACTAGTATTGAAAGGACTGTGGAATGCAGAATTCTAATATTTATGTTTACAGGTCAAGCTTGCTTTGCAATATTCATTCAAAGCATTTTACACAAGATTTTTTGGAAATGGGGGTTTATGATCTTATTATCATTGGCTGTGCAAATGCTTCTATGCTTCTATGGAGTTTGTTCTACAGCACAATCGCATGCATAGTTACTGGTGTATAAGTGCCAATGATTTCAGTAGGGCTCCTCTGGAATAGGTCTACATAGAATTGCAGCTATGTAGTGCCATCCTAAGTGTGTTTACTCAGGGTGAAGTCCAGGGGAGCTTACTTGCTGGTAAGTACATTTAGTGGTGTTGCCTTACTTACCTGTCATATATCATAGCTCTAGAAATCAGTTTCATATTGCATTTGTTCATTTTACTATATTGTATTGTTGTATTAGGGACTGCAGGTGGCGCAGTGGTTTAAACCGCTGTGCTGCTGGGCTGGTAGATCGTAAGGTCACCGGTTCAAATCTACACAACGGGGTGAGTTCCCGTTGCTCCGTCCCAGCTCCTGCCAACCTTGCAGTTCGAAAGCATGCAAATGCCAGTAGATAAAAAGGTACCACTTCGGTGGGCAGGTAACAGCATTCTGTGCACCTCCTCGGTGTTTAGTCATGCCGGCCACATGACCACGGAGACTGTCTGCGGACAAACGCTGGCTCCCTCGGATAGGAAACGGAGATGAGCACCACCCCCTAGAGTCAGGCATGACTGGACTTAATGTCAAGGGGAAGCCTTTACCTTTACCTTTACCTTTACCTTTATTGTTGTATTGATTATATTGTAAGCCACTGAGAAAGACTTATGGCTAATCAGGCAGCATACAAATCAAATAAATAAAAATTAAAATTAAATAAATAAATATAGAACAAATTGTTAAAATGTGATATTGGAAACCAACTGCATATTCATCTTTGCGTATATGTCCAGTATATGCAAGGCACACCTACAGGTATATCTCTGAGAATATGTGCTGTCAACTAGCTCCCACCCACCAATGGACTTTGCATGACCATTCCTAGAAATACTGTAAAAAGTGATCCAGCTTTTTCAGACAATTCCCAATACCCGGTAAACTGTATTGAATGCTACCTTAGAGAATGCTGGCAATGTTAAAATCACTGCATTTTTTTTCAGTGATTGGATAGCATAAAAATGATGCTCCAGCCACCTGAGAACTGATCATCCACGACAGCCACGTTCAGCATCCTCCAGCAACTGCTGGGGCCTCAGCACCAAGGCAGGGCCCATCCTTGACAACCACCCTGGTCCCTCCCATGCCAGTGTCTGGGTGTGAGAGATGCCAACCATTTGTCTAACCCACATTTCCCCCTTTGAGCATGCTGCTAATCAAGATTCCCAGAATGGCTTGGAGTGGCACTGGAGCCTCCATCAGCAGTTATGTGGACAGGTAGTTGAAGGTCCCTGCTACAGGTCTTGCATCTACCTGCTGCCATCTCCTCCACTGCTAGATGGTAAGCTCACTGGAGAGGACTCAGTTGAAGGAGGCCCACCAAAAAAAGCTTACCTGAGCAAAGCCTCAAGCCTGGAGCTGACTCTCAGATAGCCCAAGTATCAAAATTAACTCAACATTTTAGATGTAGGGAAAAGAGGCAAAGAAAGACACAGAACTGTTAAAATGCCTACTATTTATTCAATTCTAGTGGTCAAGAATGTATTGTCATAAATGTTTATAACTGTTTTTCAGCTTTAATAACAATATTGTTTTCCTTTCTGTATCTTCTCTCGGTATATGCGAATCCCTTGAAAAAACTAATGCTTAAGATCAACAAAGCAATGCTTCAATTGATTAACAAAGCAATTAACTTGCATACAATAAATGCTTTGTTTTTACAAAACTGAAAAGAGAAACATTTGATTATCAGCCAAAATTAGCCACTCTTTCTCCTGGAGACTGTGCTGCTCTTGAGCTACAAAAGGCACTATTAAATTGTGTTTTTCAAAGTGCTATCGATCATTGTCAAATCAATACCATTTAGGTAAGAGATAACATGGTACCTAAAGTATCTTCAACATGCAAATTAACTTCTCTATTGGCAATAAGTTTCCAGTGGAAGGTGGCATAAAAGATTGAAAGCTGCCTGTAGAATTTTGTTTGCACAGACACAGAGAGAGAGAGAGAGAGCAAACTGTGCGGCTTTTATATGGTCCAACAAGGGACAGTTCTATTCACCAAAGTGAATAGAATAGAGCAATGATCTATTGCCAGTCACCCAGAGACCTACTAGTTCTGGATATACTAGTAGGTCTCTGGGTGACTGGCAATAGATCAGCAAGGGTTTAGGGTTGTCTAACCACTGCACCGCACTGTGAGCTCAGAATATTGGAATGGGAATGTGGGAGATGCAGGTTCTAGTCCTCACTTGGCCATGAAGTTCACTGGGTGACTTTGGGCCAGTGCCTGCGTGACTCTTAACCTTAGCTACGTCATAGGTTTGCAGCTGTGAGGATAAAATGAAGAGGAGGAGGACTATGAAAGCCACTTTGGGTTCCTTGCAAAGGGAAGAAAGCTGGAATATGAATGCTATGTATATATATAATGGCAACACACACCCCATTGTTATATTCTTTATTACTCTACTGGAATTAAGAAAGCAAGAGATAACCAGAAATGGATTTTTATGTGAAAGAACTATGAGTTGGTCAAAAACCCATTCCCAGACTCATATTTAAAAATAATATTTTTTGTGCAGACTTTTGTTTATTATTGATTAATTTGGGATTCTAATAAAAAGCAAAGTAGATCCAGTAAGACAGAAATCTACCTACAGCTGCATCAGTCCTTTCCCAATTCAGAAAGCTCCACCATTATTCATGTACTCAACTATTGTTACACACGTGTATTAAGTAGGCATGTTGCTAATTACACCTCTATTTCCTAGTATATCTCTTAAAATTCCTTTAGTGTAATTCACAAATAATACTAAGTTACAAAAACAAAATTTGGATAACAGCTTTAATTAGACCTGCTCAATGGTCAAAAATTCTTCAAAATTAAATCAATTATGGTAGAAAGAGCAGGGTATATGATAGGATTCTGTTCCAGTGTTAGCAGCAAGGTAAATCCTGGGTTCTTAGCAATCATATGACCTTCCTTTTTCTTGTTCCACTGAGAGTCAGAAGCCAGGTTTCTGTTGATCACATTCCTGGTATCTCATTCCATCTTTATAATCCTCTCCAAATCCTTCACTAATAAGCAGAAAAACTAATTATTGTGAATAATTCAAGGAAAAGGAGAAGCAGGAGATTTTACCTTTTCAAGGATCCTTAAAGGGCAAAACATAATTTTCATTGCTTTGTCTTTAGAGATTTTCAGAAATGTTTGCCACCACTATTCACAGAGTTATTAAAAATGGTTTCCAAGGGATGTTGAAATGTGTATTTATCGTATTTCCCTTTGGGTGAATCTGATATATCCACTTGTCACCTACCTTCTGTCTTCTTTGGCAGCAATATCTCTGCCTTACACAATATTTAGTAAGTGGAGAGGTACATTTTGCTACAAAAATTAGTTCAGTCCAATGGAAGTTTTAAAGAGTATCTTTTATTTTGTAATGTAAATGGAAGTTTTAAAGAGTATCTTAATTAAAAAGTTTTTAATGAAACTTTTATTTTGAAATCTTATCGTGAACTTTTGTGCCTATTGGCAATCCTGCCATGTTCAGTAAATTCAAGAAATAATCTGGGAGATGTTCCCGGGTAAGTCTGCACAGAATGGTGACCCTAAAATCAGAGTTGCAGAAGTGCTAAGCCAGGGCTATCCAGAGGGTTTATGGAGCCTGGGGCAAATGTGATATTGGGGTTGCAGCCTCTGGAACCTACAACAGGGGTGGGCAAAAGATCCCCTCTGGATCCACTGGTAGGTCTTTTAGAGATCTGCAATAGATTGGCAAGGACTTCTGATTTTCAGTGGTTTAGTAATAAATTAAACTGCTGAAATGAAGAATGATTGAAGTGACCCGCAGTGGATTTTGTATGCGGAAGGACTGGGAGCTTCATTTGGTTCTGGTATTCATTTCCTAGGCTCAGAATTATTTAGTTCTCTGCCTTTTGCACCAGCCCAGTGGTGGATCTGAGAGCTCTAGAGGAAAACAAAACAGATCCTGCAAGGATAGAAGGAGATCACCCCTTCCCTGCAAGGAGTCACAAGTGTGTGTGGGCTCTGATGAACATTGTGGCAAGGTAGAGCAGTGGCCAGTGGTAGGCAATGGAGTGAGTCAAGAGGTTTCCTTTGCAGGGCTTTGGGACAAATGGTCCCACTTCCCCACCTGCTTCTCTGGGCAGCTTTGTGCCAAACACATGTTGGACCAGGAAATACCTGTTGTGAACCAGGGTGCCTGTACACACACAGGCAGCTGTCTGGCTTGATGGGAACTTAAGCTCATATAGTGCGGGTGAGATCATGGTGGGATCTCAGCACATCCAAGCAGTGTGCCAAGTCAAGGAACATCTGGGGAGTAGAGGGAGAGGAGTTGACAGTTCGGGCTGATGGGAGCCTGGGTTGATCCACCCATGGGAATGAGGAGGCAGGGGAAGAGGAGGCAGGATTGACAGGTCGGGCTGATGAGAGTTCTGGTCTACCAATCCATGGAGAGAAGGTGGAGCTAGAGCTGGAATTTGTCAGACACAGAAGTCCCTGCTCCTGAAGAGGTGGTGCCAGTTGCCAGGTGACAGCACCAACGGGAGGTTCAGTTGGGAAAGAAATGGGAAGAGCACAGACAGACACGATTTCCTCTCAGGACCGAGATGCTGAACAGCTTACAAAAAAAGCAAGGGAACGATGGATGTTAAAGAGGGCTCAACATTTCACTCCTGGTGAACTCAGGGACATGTAATAATAAAGTTGATCGGAAAAGGAGTTTCTGGAGTAGTGTGTTTACTCAAGAGAACCATGGCTCACAACAATATAATCCTGTTATAGATCCATTTCATTACATTACTATGTGTAGAAGACACAGTCATGTGTTAGTATTGACCTCTGCTCTTCTGAATGAAAGATGTTTGGATCTTCCAGAACAAGATGGGGCAAATGTGTTGCTGTTCAGGATCACAATGGAAGCAGCTGCCAAGAGAAGCTGAGTGCTCTTCCATACTAGATGCTTTCAAGAAGCAACTGGGCAGTTATCTGATTGGAATGCTGTGCCTGGTGTCCTGCAGGGGGTTGGACTCATTGGCCTTTCTGGACCCTTCTGACCCAGTTGTTCTGTGTGAAATGACTCTGACTATTATGTGTGATTGCAAACAAGGCAACTGGCCCACCAGAGAGAGTTGGAGGCGGGTCCCATTTCCCAGACATTCTCCTATTAAAGAGTTTTGATTTTCAAAGCTTGTGATTATCATGTTAATCTCACATAATTATTGGACTTTCTTCCAGATGCAGAGCTCCCCATACAAAATGAAGAAGGGTCGTTAGAGAATGGGCAGGCTTTGAGTTCTAGCCAAGCTTCACTCCCAGCTCTTTCTGAATTGGAGCCCTGTTCTGCATCAGGGGATTCCTGTACATATGAAGTACTCCCAACTCCAGAGATCATGGATGGAACAGGTAGCCTTCAAGTTCCATAGTAAGCTACATAAGATGTGATGCGACAGGAATCCATTAGTACTTTGCTACTAACATACCCAGGATGATGTTCTATGTTTGGGGGCTAGGAAGCATCAAGAACTAATCTATGGGATCCAAGGAGTCCAAGGAGTCATACCTACGTAAATAAATTTCTTGGGTAAATTAACTGCAGGTGCAAATCTCTAATAACAATAGAATGTGTGGTGAGTTAAAGTCTGCTAAAGTTTTGCACTGATCATGGTTGGATATGGGCAATGTATCATTCTTCACCCTGTTAAACTGACTTGCTCAAAATACTATTCATTACTTTTGTTTCTAATGATTGTATATATGAATTCATTTGACTAAATTAAAAATAACAGCTTGTACAATGCCAAGAAATCTTGAGGTCATAGTGGAAAGCTTAGTGAGAACATCAAGCCAGGGAGCAGCAGCTCTGAAAAAGGAAATTCCATGCTACTGCTCAATAGGAAAGAGACTGGAAATAAAATTGTCAGTATTGTAATTCTGTTGCACAAATCTAGGGTTGTGGCCATGGTTGGGCTACTGAGTACTGACTCACCCTATCTTAAAAAAGGTACTGTAGAACTGGAAAAGGACAGAAAAGAGCAACCAAAATTATCAGGAGATTGGTGTACCTTCCCTATAATGAGTGACTAAAGTAGTCAGAGTTTTTTAGTTCAAAACAAAGGAAACTATGGTGGGAGGATATTTCAAGGCATTCTTCCTCAAGCGGGTGTCCTTCAGATGCATTGAACTGCAACTCCCATCATTGCCAGCTCATATGACCATGCAAGCTGGGGGTGATGATAGTTGTAGTCCAACACTTCAAGAAGGCAACAGGTTGTGAAAGGCTGTTGTGAAGGCTTGTAAGATTCCTCTTGTTATGGAAAGAAAAAGTAGACAGAGAGAAGGTTTCCTTCCTCTGATAATAATAGATAAAACAGGGTCATCCAAAGAAATTCAGAGACAGTAAACTCAGAATAGATGAATGAAAGCAAAAGTGCTTCTTCATACAACGGTCATTATTGTTTTGTGCAGTTCACTGCTGCCAGATAACAAGATGGCTGCTATATGATGGCTCAGACTGTTTTAAACAGGAATTAGCCAAATGCATGGAAGGCAACAATTATTTATGATGGCTTTACAGACCCTCCCTATTCAGAGGCAGGATTCCATTGGTTACACTTGAAAAGCACTGTTGCCTTCAGGTTCTGCTAGTGGGCCTCCCAAAGGCAACTACTCGGAAGCCCTTGCCATGCATTTGCATGAGAATCATCTTTCCATTATTATAATATTAAAAGAGTACCTGAATAAATTGTGGCAATATTATTTTTATGTAAGCCTCATTCTATATGGGCCTGTGGCATTATCCATTGACTTGATTCTTACATAATGGCAATTCACTGATTGTTTTATCCCATTAATTGTCAGGGTCACATAGGAGGTAGTGATTGTGCTACCTGCAACTGGCTTGCAATTCCCACTTTGCGTCTGGTTTCTCAAACAACCCATGAATGCTCCACTTCCTGGTCATTTGATTTGATGTCCAAACCCCAAAGTCTGGGTTGTTTAGGCACAAACAATCTAGAATTAAAATCCATCAACAAACTCTAGCTCACTTGTCCCTCAACTGCAGGAGTTCTGAGTTTGGATGTTGCCTCAAACAATCCAGGAACTGGGCATTCCTGGATTGTTTGAGAAACTGGATATAAACTGAAAGCAGTGAGTAGGTGGGAGGGTGTGTGCTTACTCCTGCACACACCCTACAACCCAACAAATGTGCAAACCAGGACATTGTTATCTATGAGACATGGTCAAATTTTGTTTCATGTAAACATGTGAATGACCTTGGCCATATACCATGGATTCCTTCATCAGTGGGGCTCTGAAAAATGCATGAAATATGGAAAGCACAGTTCTAGGAATCATACCAGGGTTGCTTAAGGGTCATCTGGGGATTATTCAAATAACATACAATGCCCAGGTTTGTGCAGCATGACAAGCCACAGATTGCATATTCAAAATGGCAGCCAGCACACTTCTTGGAGCACTTTGGGCAAATTACCCCATGGTGGTGAACAAGACATTGTAATATAAGTGAAACAGAATGCAGATCCACTTGTTTTCAGGTTCACTGAGCAAAGATCATTCTGCTTAAAGTAATTTATATAATAACTTGGATGCCGATCTTATTGGATGCCAGTCTTTCATGAAATGCAGGGGCTAAGAGCTGATCTCTCACTGTTTAAGTTATATGGCTAAGGCAATGAATTTTTTGTGATATTTGTGTTGGCTTGAACAGAAACAGCCTGTACTGATGAAGGAGAGAAATAGATGCTCCAACTGTAGACAAGGGATAACCAAATATTCACCCGTTTGATTGCCAGGATAAAATGATATATCTGAAAATTATTTAATAGCACAGTTAGGCTAGTGAGTTGCAACTACTGAAAGGTCCCAAAATTTGGCAAAAAGTACCAGCAACATCTTTTTAAAGAATCCAGCTACTTTGTCTGGATTCTTTGAGAGGGATTTCAATGTATGATGAATTATAATCTTTTCCAGCTTCTACTGGTCTTTCCTTGAGACATTCAGCCAGTGAGGTAGGAGCTTTGGGGGCGAGGTGTGGTGAGCATGCCTGAGAATTTTCTAGTTTACAGAAAGTGGAGAGTCCTCTGCCGCCTATGGGGTTCCTTGCCAGATGAGTGAATGTGAGAAAGGTTCCCTCAACACCAAAGCCCTGCAAACAACGACCCTAAAGGGATCCTGCCAGTTCCACATTTCTGAACCACAAGGGGCCCAAGGAGAAATCACCATGTATGCATATTTGTCTGAAGGGCTATGGCATGGGCATTTGTGCTGTTGCAGTCCATTGGTTGTAAGCAAAAGCGGCCTACAAATTTGTCCAGAATAAGGCCATATATACAGTTTTGATGCCAGTACTCCTGCTGTCTGTCGTGAAAGCACCAAGGGTTGTTGCCAGTCTCTTTGTGGACAGTTTCTCTCTTTCCTCCTTCTCCTTTCTTCCTCTTTCCTTCATATATCTGAGTAAGCTCTGCTGTTTGTTACGTTTGAAAATCCGCACTGCTCTGCTGCTTCTGTTGTCTCTCTGCTACCGCTTTGCTTGTAACGCTGTTGCGTCTATGCTGTGGTTGTGTCCTCCAGTGTCTGAAGAGAGCCCCACGTCCAGTGGATCTGGATCCCACCTATCTCAAGATCCTTCATCTAAACCAGTCCTGCTACTTCCCCCTAAAAAATCCGCTGCTTTCTCTGGAGACCGTGAGGACACCCCAGTGAAACAGCAATCCCTCCTCAAACAGCCCCCTGCCCTGCCTCCTAAACCCATTGCCCGGATTGCCAACCACTTAGCTGGTAAGTAAGTATTGCAGAATGGTTTCTGCCCCCTCTAAAAGTGCACCCCTCCCTGTGTCTTTTCTCCGTAATGCTACCGGATTTCATAGTTGTCCACCAAAATATGTGTGTCACTGACTTATGACAGAACCAGGACCTTTTGGGCATTAGCACAACATGCACCAAAATTAATCAGGATCGTTCTTGTGTCTTGTTGTAGGTCATCTTTCTCGGCATGTTAGTTTTATGTCAGTTCAGCTGGCCATAGCTTCTCCTGAAAAATGCTGGGAGCTTGTGAGGGGGCTGAGAAGTCTCAGAGAAATCCCAAGCCACTGCCTTATGCAGCTGCAGTTGCATAGATTAGGACAATGGCTACTAAAGCAGGGTGAAGATGCAAGCCTGTGCGTGTCAGAAAGAAAAGAGCCCTGCATTTCCCAGCGTGTCCCAGCCAGCATATGCCCTTCCTTCGATTCAGCCCACATGGATCGTTCATGTCTGTGTCTTCCTAAGTAGCATTTGCAACCGCTTGGTCATGTCCAAAATTAACATCAGTTGCATTCTGTTTGGACTTGACTGCTCTGTGCCTGGATGGGAGCAAGGGCGAGAATCATTGCTGTCTTTACTTTTTATTTTCTTTCCTCCTCCTGCTCATCTCACCTGTTCCCAGCCCAGCCAACTGCAGAGGTTTCTTCCATATTGCTGCCTTTCTTTCCGTTTTCTGTGCCACTTACCCACTCCAGTGTTTAAATGCCCTCAGTTACTCACTCATTCAACTGATCTGCAGCCAGCTGTTTTCTACTCCAGGTCTGCTGAGAGAATGTGCAGGTCCCAGACCTCCCTGACCTGCCTGATTTCAGCATGAGCCCCTGTTACAATCGGCTTCCATTGTCCCAGCTGACCTTCCACACCACTGTTTTGCAATGGTCCTGTTTACCTTGACCATGCCTGTAGATGGTGATCCATTGTAGTGTTTTTCTGGAGCCCCCCCACCCCAATCTTAGCATGCACATCTCAGTAAGGTGTATCCTTTCATTGCATCTTTGATGAAAAGGAAGGCTTTGATGAGTCCTTCTTACCAGCCATGTTGTGTGCTCTGGCTCTGAGTGCAGAGAAGATTGTGGAACTGACTTGTTTTTTAATGAACCCCATAAACCATCATCTATCCAAAAGCATATCATCTTTTTAAGGATAGAATCATTCATGAGCTACAGTGGGTTTCATACGAGGCTAGCAGCACTGGATTTGCTTGCTGCTCTAAAGGATCACAGCTGAACATGGCCCAAGAGTGCATTTCAGCTTCCAGGCTAGCAGGAGCAAGCGAACTGAGAAGCCAGGAAGGGTCTGCCTGGCCCTGCATGTATCTCTGCTTGTTAAGTAGAGAAACTTATGGATCAGAGGAGGCTGAGCTGCTGCAGTCTGTCTCCATGGCCCTTCCAGCAAAAAAGCACAGCCAGCCTTTGCAGCTCAACTTTTCTACCACTGCAAAGCAATCCATGCACTATCTTCTGTTCATATGTCTGGCCATCCCCTTATTTGTAAAAGAAATAAAGCAGGTGGAATTTGTTCCTTGAACATTCGAACCATGCTGACCTATAGGCAGAGTGTATAAGATGAACCTCCTCCTCCCACCCCCACCCGCTGCAGACCAGATTTGTGGCATACAATGGCCCTCCATGCAGTATTTTCCCACCCATCATCACTGATCAATTAATGAACCTCAACGTGCTGGAACTGCTGGCATGGGGCACCCCTTTTCCTTCCTCATGCCATGCTCCTCTGCTCTTCCTTCCCCACAAACTGAGCCAGGCTGGGGATGCAGCACGATGATTGTCAAAAGAACCCTCTCCATGAGTTGGGGAGATTCTTCGTCTTTCTCCATAGAACATTTAGGCTGTGGAAAGAGGGGATTTTATCAGGTCTGTTAATGCCCACCGCCACCCCCCTTATGAGATAGAGGAGGTGATTCCCTTCCTTCTCCCCCATCCCCAGCAGGAAACCTTTTACCTGGTATTTTCCTTTCTCTTAGCTGGAAAGGGGAAAACTAGCCAAATCAGCTAGTATGTTTACCAGGGTCCTAGGACAAGAAGACCCAAGCTAGTAACAGCTGTTGTGGGACAGAAAGCCACTGTCTCTATTCAGACCCAAATGAGCAGAAGTGAATGTCTTGGTGCATTGCAATTCAACGATTTCACTCAGGAATTCTGTTGTTCAAGGATGGCCACCATGAGGTCATTAGCAGAGACAGCGCTATACAAGTATGTTTGGGGGAGTGGTGATGCTAGCTGGTTGCTCTTCATGGTGTACAAGATTTACTTGTGGAAATCCCATGTAATCTGGATATCAGAGCACATCTTGCAATGCGGCTGTGCAGAATGTTACCTGTGCAGCTACCACAGAGTGTCCTCAGGAGGGACAGCTTTGCAGTGGAGTACCTAGATGGGGCACTTAAGCCTTTCCCCATTGCTCACCTTCCTCTTGAAATTTGTGCCCCATTTCAAGTAGCTTTTTCAACTGTGTTCTTCACCTGTATGTATCCTGTGAACAAAGATCTAGAACAGCTGGGCAAAAGGGGAAGCAGCAGGAAGGGTATGGGTGCAACCAGAGACAGGTAACCTGATGTCTTTCCGATGTTTTGAACCATAACGCTCAGAGCATGTAGCCAGTATGGCCGGTGACCAGGGATTATGGGAGCTGTAGTCCAAAATGCCTGGCGGGCATCATGTTGCCCACCCCTAGGTTCAGCACTTTCTGTCCTGCTCTCTGCTGCTGCTCTTTTGTGGCTTCTTCCCCCACCCCTGCATTGTCCTGGAGGTGAGGCCATCACACTAACAGTACATGCGGCTCACTCCTTGGCCAAGGGCTTGATAAATTCCAAAAAACTTCTTTCCAAATAAATCTGCCTAAAACCAGGTGTAAGGGTCAAAAGACATATGTTTCTTGGATGTTTTTATGTCCTCTGGGGATTTTATTTCATTTGCAAGGGCTCTGGAAGTGAGCAATCATCTCTAATGAATCATCATTTCCAAGCTGAAAGGAAATTAACCCTATTCTATTACTAATTTCTCCAGAGGCAGACGTGGATCTTGTTTGAAGGAATTCGTATAATGAGAAATCTCACAATTGAAATGAACACATTCTGGTTTTCAATATAGTTCTAGCATCTCAATTGGTGTTTGTGCTTTTTCTGCGGAGGATTTTGTGAAGAAAATGTTTTGGATGCTCTAAGCATGACTAATGGAGAGTGATGGCAGATAATGATTTGCTAGAGTTTTTCTGGTGCTATTGTAGGAGAGATATGATGGCCAAAACAGCTTCACTGACAAATAGGTTATAGAAATATTTCTGAATTTTTCATCATCGTTTTAAGTGTGTGTTTCTCTGTGCGTGCATACATGCATCCAATACAAAAAAAAAAAAAATGGTAGCCAGGCTGACCATAAGAAAAGTTCAAACATTTGTATTAATATAGCATAGATTAAAATCTGTCTTAGTGAGGAACTTTTATTAGGTTAACAAAAGATTCAAAAATTGTGCAAGCTTTTAGAGTCTCAAGCTCTCTCTGTTAGGCAAGATGTTAAGATCAAGTGGGGAGAGGAAGGTCTCCAGGCATTCAAATTCAGCTCTGCAGGTCATTTGATGTTCCAAATTTTGGACCTGGAGCTGCCATTTGGCAACCAGAAGAGAAAGAATATTGGAGATATAAAAACCTGCTGTTGCTCAAAAATGTTTTCAGCCTGTGTAAAACACACTGGTAAGTTTCACCAGTGGGCCACAGAGAAAAAATGCAAGTTAGCTTAGCCATTTGATGGTTTCATTTCCCCATTCATTCTAGTTAAGTTAAAATCAGATTGCTGGTAGCTTAGTAATTCGTTTATTTTTTTAATGAAAAGTACAGGAGATAAAATCTCTCAGGAAAACAAATCACATAATGGTTGTTGAGGAATGCATAGAATATGAAGTGGCACGCATTTTCTAAAACATTTTTTAAGCTTTACAAATATTTTAAACAGCCTCTGGGGTCTACAGCAACCCCTTAGTTTGCAAGGAAAAGTTTAGTGAAAGGGCTCGGTTAAATTCACAAGCCCCCTTTTTAACTGTCTTTAATTTTAGCCAAATCACCCCTTTCATGATAGCCTTCCCAAAACAGTAATTCAAGGAAGCTGTCACAGTAGTAAGGGAGCAGTCCCATGCCCCATAACTGAGTACTGAACTTGTTCTAATACCCAGTACTTTGCATCCAAGTCTCTTCAGATGGTGTGGACACACCCTATACATACTGAAACTCAGTTGAAAATAACCCAGTTCTTTTGTTCTTTGAATTGGATTTGCCAGGTTTCTGAGATCACTTTTTCAGCATAACATGTGGAAAGGTTTTATGGACACTTATGGGTAAATGTCTTCAGATGCAGGCATTTATCTGTAGTCATTGCGAGGCTAAAGTTTGGGTATCCACTAAGCAACCCTTTGTTTTGTGACCTTGGAAATATCTTTGCTCTCAGTCTTAATAGTCTATTTGATTTTTCATGGAGTGTTGCTCACATTAGTAGCCTGATACATTTTATTAGGCCGTGCTAATACAGTGGTGAATTGTGGTGTATATCAGCATATTCCCCCTTTACTATTATAGCAGCAGGGATGGGAATATGTCTGTGGCTACTCAGTGAGTTTCTTAGTCAAGAGCAGATTTGAACCCAGGGCTGCGCAGTAGCTATCTGTCCAACACACTACCCACCAGGCCACACTGGCTTGTCAGGCTTAGCTTGCAGAGGTTTTGGCTGAATTTATTGGTTTGCTCTCAGCCTGGCTAAAAGAGAAGATGCTTGAAAGAAAGTTAGTACTGATTTCAAGATTTGTGGCTTTGCCAAACACCTGTAGCAATTTTCTAGAATTTTCTTTTTGCAGTCTTTCAGTCCAAAAGCATTCAAACATAGTTCTAATATTGTGAATTGCAATATTTCCAGTTTTAGTTCTTAGTTATGAGGTTGGACTAAGCAACCAAAAATGTTAGCAAGAGCGAAGTCGGTGAGTTACTTCTTGTGTCTCTTCAAAGCAGTTTTTAGATGGCCAGTCTTTGTGATATCCCTCTTTCAAGCAGAGCTGGATTATGTGTGAGAAAATTGAAGGGACAAAGCTGAGTTGGGTTGGTGGGCACTAGTTGGGTGGGACAGAAAAATTGACCTTTCCACCCATTTGCACTGTTCTCCCACACATACTGCAGCTGTACAAGAAAGAGCACCATAAGGAAATGGGCTCCCATTTGGTGTGGGTTGGGTGAAAATGAAGGGGACCTGAGGGCCTTTAATATTTGTAATTGTTCCCCCAGCACTCATGTCATGTCTGAGCATCTCATATGTTTGTGTTTTAGATCCTGGTGCTCCTGTGAAACTGCCTTGTATGCCAGTCAAACTGTCGCCTCCGCTACCTCCAAAGAAAGTCATGATTTGCATGCCTTTAGGGGGACCAGACCTCTCCCTCGCCTCCTATTCTGCGCAGAAGAGCTCCCAGCAACCGTTGGCTTCCCATCACCACACAGTCCTGCCATCCCAGTTAGCAGCGCACCAGCATCCATATGGCAGCCACAGCCCTCATTTGCCTTCTGGATCCAGCACATTACCCATTCACCCATCCGGGTGTCGTATGATTGAGGAGTTGAATAAGACACTGGCCATGACTATGCAGAGGCTAGAAAGGTAACAGGGCATTTTGACTTGCCGCCGCCGCCTCCTCCTCTTTCTCTCCCCTCCCCACTGTCAATCATCCCAAAGCTGTGTGCTGTGGAAAAAAATTGTGTGCAGGACATTCATCTTTAAAAATCAAAGCTGCTCAGGAGAGGGGCTCTTAGCGCCACGTCTGCCTTTGTTGGTCGGTGTGAGAAATGGAATGCTAAACCAGGTGAACATTTGGTTTGATCCAGTGAGGCGCTACTGAAAGTGGTTATAAGCCAGTGTGGTGTCGTGGTTAAGAGCGTGGGACTGGGACTCAGACGATCTGAGTTCTAGTCCCCGCTCAGTCATGGAGCCAACTGGGTGACTTTGGGCCAGTCACAGACTCTCAGCCCAACCTACCTCACAGGCTTGTTGTTGTGGGGATAAGATGGAGGAGGAGAATGAAGTAAGCTGCCTTGAGCCCTTTGTAGGAAAAAGGCAGGATATAAATCGAAAAATAAAAAAAATAAAAAAATATCCTCCCACAGAGGATATTCACATCTGTGGCCTCCTTCTCAGCTTTCTATCATGTCCCTCCCACAACAGTGATGTATGGGAAACATGGAGCAAGTGCCCATTACTGCTAAGATATCTTGAAAGTCTATATGCATGACAAATGCATCCCATTCTAATGGAGACAAAAGTATTATCTATCCATCCCTCCATACGCACTCACAGGCATTTCAATGAAGGCAAAAATATTTCCCAGCTATTGGGCATTTCAGAAACACATAGCTATTCTATTACGGAACACGGCTCATTATCCTCATTTCTTTTTCCTGCATAAATATCCAGTGTGGGTTTTTTGTTTTTGTTTTAAAGCCAAAGTTATGATCACTGAAGTCTGTGTACAAATCAAACAATTTCCATTGTCTTTGAGGTAATAGTTTTTTGCATATGAAAGGTTTTGGTAATTTGAGGAACTAATTTCTCTTCACACATCTTTGCAAACCATTTGATATTAACAATTTACCTACATGGCTATGAACTAGAATTATCTCAGCATCACGTATTTTATACTTCTTCCTATTTCATTGTGCCAGCTTCTCATTTAAAAAAAATACCTATTTATTGTTCTAATGGATTAGGTGTGATGAAGGTGATGCTAATATCCATTCCAATTGCTGTTGCTCTCTTTCTTTTGTTTCTGGTATTTATTTGTTAATGTTTGGGTTGATTGTGATCATTATAATGCTTTTTTAACTGAGCTTGGATAGATCTCAGAACATTTTTAATCTGGGCAGTTTTATGTAATTTTTAAAACTAAAACAACATGATCAAGAAAATGAAAGTTAGATGGATGGTGGAGGGGATCCAATATGTCTGGGTCGCTAAAGGGTCGCTTTCAGCACCTGGCTGCCAAAGTTGATTAGTAGCAGCAAAAGACTGTTCTTCTGCTGTTAACAGCCATTTTTGCAATGGCTGCATAAGGAATGCTAGACCAGGGCTGGGACTTCAGGCCCATCTCCAAAGGTGGCCTTGCTTAGGTCCCAGTCCTACCCTCTGGAGTTTCCAGGGGGCCAAGTTCCCTTTTCATGGCCATACCAACAATAATGTGATGGTTTTCAGCTTTTGCGCTTCCTCACCTCTTTCTAAAGGTTGAAATGCCTCTGTTAAAGTTTACTTACTGGCAAAATCAGCTTTAAGCTGATATTCTGGCACCCTCTGATTACATTTCTCTTTGCTCACAATTCTATTTCAGAGAACCTTTCAGGGGCTCACATTCCAATAGTGGACCAGACCAGGGGTAAAAAGCTGGGATTAGAATGCCAAAAATGCCAGAATAGTTTAGCTTAATTCTGGTACTCCCAGTACCTAAACCTTCACAGAGATAACTTGTGCTTCAAAGTGTTCTCCTTTGCAAGCTATCTGAATTACAGTCTTTTATTAGTGAAGAAAACTAAATGTTATGTGCTGAACACAGAATTCTCTCAATCAGCCCAGAGCAGACCAACAGAACCAGTGCCATGGTCTTTTAAGAAATGCTGTGGCAAGTTCTTAAAGAGATGGGAGTACCAGACCATCTTATTTGTCTCTTGAGAAACCTATAAGCAGGTCAAGAAGCAACAGTGAGAACTGGGCACGGAACCACTGATTGGTTCAAAATTGAGAAAGGAGTTTGGCATGGCTATTTAATGTATATGCAGAGCACATCCTGAGAAAGGCAGGGCTAGATGAATCACCAGTTGGAATTAAGATTGCTGGGAGAAATATCAACAACCTCAGATATGCAGATGATACCACTCTCATGGCAGAAAGTGAAGAGGAATTAAAGAGCCTCTTGATGTGGGTGAAGGAAGAGAGTGCAAAAGTTGGCTTGAAACTCAACATTAAGAAAACTAAGATCATAGCATCCGGTCCTCTCACTTCCTGGCAAATAGATGGGGAAGAAATGGAGGTAGTGACAGATTTTATTTTCCTGGGCTCCAAGATCACCACAGATGGGGACTGCAGCCAAGAAATTAAAAGATGCTTGCTCCTGGGGAGGAAAGCTATGACAAATCTAGACAGCATACTAAAAAGCAGAGACATCACCCTGCCAACAAAAGTGCGTATAGTCAAGGCTATGGTTTTCCCAGTTGCAATGTATGGCTGTGAAAGTTGGACCATAAGGAAGGCTGAGTGCCAAAGGATTGAGGCCTTTGAATTGTGGTGCTAGAGGAGACTCCTGCGAGTTCCTTGGACCACAAAGCAATTAAACCTTAGAGGAGGTCAGTCTTAGAGGAGATCAACCCTGACTGCTCTTTAGAAGGCCAGATACTGAAGATGAAACTCAAATGCTTTGGCCACCTAATGAGAAGGAAGGACTCCCTGGAGAAGACCCTAATGCTGGGAACAATAGATGGATGAGGTGGCTAGATGGAGTCATTGAAGCATTTGGTGTGAGCTTAAGTGGATTCTGGGGGATGGTAGAGGACAGGAAGGCCTGGAGGAATGTTGTCCATGGGGTCGCAATGGGTCAGACATGACTTTGTGGCTAACAACAACAAAGAATTTGTTACAGAAGACCTCCAGCCCACCTGATTGCTCTGCTGGGGTAGGAGGTTAAACACAGCAAATTTAAAACATCCAGTTAGGGTTCTTGCTACAGCTGCTCATCTCAATAAGCACAACTAATTATAGTATGGGAATCATATTTGATTATTTTTGATCACCACAAGCTAAGAAATGCATTAATCATTCAGTCAGATGACAACTTTTCCAAAGGGGCAGAACCAGGAAATTCACTGCAGGGAACATCTCCTATGAAATAAGCATGTCTGAGTACAATGATAAATATCTAAGTAATATCTATTACTCATGTAGTAAACTAAGGACCAAAATGGTGTGAATTAATTATGTGAATGCAATTAAAGTTCGTTTTGGTTATTGTTGCATTATTTATGCACAACATTTTATGACTGTGGTCTGCAGCCAAAAGAGGATGTCACAGTGTCTTACATAAATTAATAGCATTTTACAATCTAAAAGAGACATTGCAAGAAGAAAAGCAAATTGGGAGGGAAGAGGAAAAAGGCAAAGCTGAGTCACCAGTGAAGCGTTTCATAGTACTGACTGCATTCTTTTTAGTAGCGAGGAGTAAGGCAAGCTGCCTCCAAGTGTTCCTTCTTTGGCTGATGTCTGGGCTCAGCTGGGCTTCCCCTTCCCATGATTTTTATCCTGGGAGGTACAGGATGCAGCCTCCCAGTCGTGTTTGGCTGCAGTCCCAAGGAGCTGATAGCCAGAGCCCTTCAGCAGATAGCAGCAACAGAGAAACCTCGAGTGCCTTGGGACCTTGGGGGATGCAGAGAGGAAGCTTGATCCCTCTCGTCCTCCTGTGGCTTCTCTCTGCAGCCTCCCACAAACAGCCTCTCCACATTTCAAGGGAAGCTCCCATTGGTGCAAATGGAGGCTTCCCTTGAAGTGCAAAAGTAGCTTTGGTAGGGTGGCGGTATTTGTCAGGACTGAGGCATTAGAAGAGAGGGAGGCCTGTGTGAAGCCTTCCTCCCCATTTCCCAATGTCCAAGGGTGCTTAGTCTCCTTCGGGGCTGCTATTTGCAGAGCCAACCGAACAGGCAAGCCCACTGCATTCACACAGCTAGCCTTGAATCCAGTTCGGTCCCAGCCCCATCATATTAAAGGGGAAGGCAGGCTGGGAAATAGTTCCATGGTGGTCTGGACAAAGCCAAATTTGAATGCAGTCATAACAATTTGGGGGGCTAGAAAGATTCTCCTTGTCTTTTAGTAGATGCCTAGATAGAGTTGGAAACCCCTGAACAGAAAGAGGCCTCTACAAAATCCCCTCCCTGCCATTCCCTTGGGCTGCCCAGGGTTGGAGAAAGATAGGTCAGCCATTGGTGCAATCCAGCCTGACCCAAGCTGGAGCCTTCCAGGCCTTTGTCCTTCAGCTTCCATCAGTGCCATCCAGCATCACCAATGGTCAAGAATTCTGGTTTAGCTCTTCTATCTCATTACCCAAGAGAGCAAATTGATTGAGCCCATGCAAGGCCACAATTAACTGCAACAGACTGTTCTGTGTTCCCCACGAGGTTCCTTTTGGGCATCTACTTCCATCCAGACAAGCTCATGTTAACTGCACAATCTGGTCCATTGTACCTGAAAAATTCACGTAATTCACCCTACGTGCAATAAGATTTCTCCCCATATGACTTCTAGAGGCATCTGTTCCCCCCACAGCAATAGATGTTCTATTTTTCTAAATGCCTACTGTGCCTGCAGTTACTAGGACAAACACGACAGTTAATAAGGAGAAAGCAGGTAATTTAATTTGTGTCCCCTCCCCCAACTCTTAACTGAATGTAGGCTACTGAAGGTCTGTGTCTCTCATCCAATAAACTAACTGATATGCTAGGCTGGATGTGAAATTTGAGTTGAATGGCTACTCTCAGGAGTGCGGAGGGTGATATTCCAGGTTGCCAGGTTGTCATACAGGAAGGCCTACTATCTAGTAGGGTTTGTGAGATTATAACTAAAGACCTCTAAAT